GACGGTGGGCATCCAATACTCGGCCCATATGCTGTTGAACGGTGGGAGGTAGTATTCGAACAAGCGGAGGCCTCTCGCAAGGGCGTCTATCGGGGACCACATTTTAGTTGGCAATGGATAACTTCTTGTAGTTGGGCGGACACTATTTCAAACGACCAGTGGGGTCGTCATGGTTTGGAATTTTCGACCTGAGGGCTCTGGTGTTGTTGGGGCGGTTGGTGCCTTCAAAATATGCCCGAAAAGCAATGCTGAAAGCGTTGGTTCTCGCTTTGCATGAGGGCCTTGATTCATTAAGCATGACGAAGCTCTATCCTCAAAAGTCATTGAGCGAAAAAATACGCCTGTGGTCAATGGGTTGTGCTGGCCTGTCACATCGCTTCGTCACCAGCCGGACGTTATTGGACTGAACTCGAATTCTGCCTGCCTTCAAGCGCAGGCAAATGCTCTTGTGAAGTGCGAAGGGATTTGGATTCCTTTCGTTTAAACTTGGAAGTCAGGCTCACGTCCTCCACAGTTTCCTCCTTTCGGGCACGAGCTAGGCAAACAACGAGATGATACGCAACAACAGCCTAGAACTGAGTTAACAATCATCTCATTCCATTGCGTGCGCAACTTAAAGCACCATCCTCTTGGCTAAGGTACATACCAATCTATGAATTTAGTACACGTAAATAAAATCCTCATTCTTCACATCCGTCATATCGTGCAGGGCATTATCCTCTTCCAGCGTCCTCTGCGGGCGACTCCCTGAGGCCTCGTGGCCGCCCTCCAGCTCGACAGCTTTGCTGGTATCCAGCTGGCGCTTTGCCAACATGGACTCGTCAACCAGCTGGGCGTTCTTTCCCAGCGCCGCCCGGCGGCTCGCGTGTTGCCGGTTCAGGAACATGAGGTAGAAAGGGATTGTTCTGTTGCCAGCATCAGCGTTAGTCATTGCTAATGGGATCAAGGGCCGAGCAGTCATGGTAAATGGGAGCACGTACGCTGAGACAACGCCGACAGTCACAAACATGATCAGATCCGCGATGAGACCAGTGCGATACAGCGGGGCTTGGTCAGTCGAATAAAGCAGTGGCCCGATGACGTTGCCCGTGCACATGCCGACAAACACCATCCCGGACGTGCACTTCTTCTTGGTATCGCCACCCGTATTTTGGGCCTGCCACGCATAGATCAGTGGCGTGATGCCTGCGAGGCACGACACCAGGTAGTAGCCAAATAGCAGAACGCCCTTCTGCCCGCGGGGAACAGTCAGCATGATGATGGTTCCTACGGCTGGGAGGACAGAGACGCCTGCAATCACAAGGCCCTTGCTCTGGAAGCGTGTGGCAAGCCAGCCGGAGCCGATGATCACGATGACCTGGATGGCGCCGAAGGGGATGTTGAACAGGATGGTCTCGAAGTTGGAGTAACCGAAGGACTTGACGATGAGACTGCCAAATGTGCTGATGCCGCCGCTCGCGATGCTGTTGCATGGGGAACAGAGAATTGTCAGATTTGCTCTACAGGGGGGGCTTGCAGCAAAAGGGGGATCAACGTACGAGATCGCGACAATGGCGATGAACCAGCACCACGTCTTCAGGTCAATCATGGTCTCCCAGACATGGTCCCACCGCCACTTCCTCGACGCGACACCCATCTGGTTAGCCCTCAGCCGCTCCACCGCGATGACTTTCTCCCGCTCGCCAAGGTATTTCGCCTCCATCGGCGAGTCGGGCATGAGCGCCAGAACAAAGACGGCGTATACCACCGTCAGCAGGCCACAGAACAGAAAGATGATCTGGTAGCGGTACATGTGCTCGCTCTCGATGTGGCCGAGCCCGTAGGTAAAAAGGCTGCCCACGACGGCCGTGACGCCGTTCATAGCGTTCCAGTAGACGGTGCGCATTGTCTGCTCGCTGCGGCGCCACCACATCTGCGTGACGGCCACGCAGCACGGCGCGATCATGGCCTCGAACGAGCCCAGCACAAAGCGCATGCCAAGCAGCGACGGGAAGTCGCTGCAGGACGACATGATGGCCAGTGACGCGCCCCAGAGCAGGACCGCCGTGCCGATGACCTTGCCGGTGGGTAGCTTGACGAGGATGAAGGCCGCCAGCGGTTGCATTACCAGCTGCGCGAGATATAGAATCGAGCCGAGCCACGAGTACTGCTTGCCCACGAGGTGGGCGTCCTCGGAGATTCCGAAGATGGAAACGTAGCTGGGGGAGCACATTGTTAGCATGAGCGACGGGCGGCGACGAAAACTTGGAGATAGCATGATAAACGAACCTCAGAGAGCTCTTGTCCAGCTGCTGAAAGAAGTAGGCACCCAGGAGCAACGGCAAGACCCGAAAGTCAATGCGGCGCAACACCGCCATCTCCTCTTCGTATGTGAAAGACGTGTCGACATCGCCGTGGCTAGCAAGGAACTCGGTGGCTTTATCGGCGTTTGCTTCTGTCGCGTTGTGGATTGGGGCGGGCGCGATCTCCTCGTGGTCTGCTGCTGCCTTTTTCGAGTCGGCGCTCATGGCTGCGTATGTGATTGCTCTTATTTTGGGAGTGAGAATGAGAAGCTGCTCGTCGTCCCTGTGGTGTATGAATAATTGAGGTCGAGCCGCGGAAGGACTGCACGACGGGGCAGGTAGATGAAGATGAACGCTGGATATGATCCAAGAGAACGGAAACTGTAGCAAGCTTCTCCACACACCGTCCCTATCATGACCGAGCCCACATGACTGCTGCATCCCAACCTCGTTATCGCCTACCTCATGGCAAGGGTTCCAACTTGTCGTCCTCTTTTACCCCGAAATTGAACGGCTGCGCGGATGCATGGGCTGGACCCACGGCAAAGAGCAGTACTGACACCGTGGGGTAGGGATGTTGGTGATCTTCGATGTGGAGGACCTGCTTGATATTGCCAAGCCTGTGGGTGCGCTCGACGGGAAGAGCTCATTGGAGGGTTAATTTCAGGCTGTATGAACTGGAGCCGATGATAGAAGTTGCCACCACGGCGCGCTGGGCGTTCACCTGGTCGTTCCTTCCCGTAACATATGGGTACCTAGTCCATTTCATGAATACGAGATGGTGGGCCAATTCAGTTAGGATGGAGAAGGAGCATCCAACAACGGGCTGACAGAACAGGGCAGGGACCACCTTGTGAGCATTTTGAAGATCTGTGGCTTGCCAGTGGCCGACCCGTCAATATTTCCATCACGCCGAATCCTCCGACTCCACAGACTGATCTGCACCTGTCAATAATTCCCCGCATTCTGTGTCAGGGTGCGATTCTCCCCGCATTTACGGCACCGAGACGGTTGCTTTTTCCCTGTTTAGCCTGTCACTCGGATGATGGGATAGCAGCGGCCGAAGTTGGGGGTCGTGTTGCACGCGGCCCCACACCTGCCCGACGATATGGATGCCATTCAGATGGCCTCCAAGCAGTCCGAGTTGTTCCAAGTACCGCGCAGTCGACGATCTTGATATACAACAAGAGCCGTCAAACATCATGAGCCTCACCACGATATCTGCCCGGCCCCCGGCAGCAGGCAAGAAGCGCTATGCCCTCGTCGGCACGGGCGGGCGCGCCAGCTTCTTCTTCACCGCCATCGCGACCGACTACAGCGCGACGTCGTGCATCGTCGGGCTCTGCGACACCAACCAGACGCGCATGGACTATGCCAACGGCAAGCTTGTTGCCCTCGGCCACGGCGCCGTGCCGACCTTCCTCGCGGCCGAGTTCGACGCCATGATCGCCACCACCAAGCCCGACGAGGTCATTGTCACGACCATGGACCGCACGCATCATATCTACATCGTGCGGGCGCTCGAGCTCGGGTGCAACGTCATCACCGAAAAACCCATGACCATCGACGCGCCGCGGTGCCGTGAAATCTTCTCGGCCGTCGAGCGCACTGGCAATTCTGTGCGCGTCACCTTCAACTACCGGTACGCGCCGCACAACACAAAGGTCTTCTCCATCCTGCGCTCGGGCGCCATCGGCACCGTCACGTCGGTGCACTTTGAGTGGATGCTCAACACGTCACACGGGGCCGACTACTTCCGGCGCTGGCACCGCGACAAGCGCAACAGCGGCGGCCTGTTGGTGCACAAGTCGACCCACCACTTCGACCTGGTCAACTTCTGGCTGCAGACGCGTCCCGAGTCCGTCTACGCCCAGGGCGATCTCAAGTTCTACGGCCGCGAGAACGCCGAGAAGCGCGGCGTGACGCAGTTCTACAGCCGCGCGCATGGTAGTGAGGCAGCCAAGACGGACCCGTTTGCGCTGCACCTGGACGAGGTGCCCGCGCTCAAGGCCATGTATCTGGACGCCGAGCACGAGGACGGGTACTACCGCGACCAGAGCGTGTTCGGAGACGGCATCAACATCGAGGACACGATGAACCTACTCGTGCGGTACCGCAACGGCGCTGTCATGACGTACTCGATGACGGCGTACGCGCCCTGGGAAGGCTTCCGGGTCAACTTCAACGGCACGGGCGGCCGGCTCGAGGTCGAGGTGGTCGAGAACAGCTACGTGAATTCCGGGGGCGACCAGGCGCTCGAGGGCGCGCTGGAGAGCAGGACGATTACGTTGCGGAAGCTGTTTGAGAAGCCGGTCGAGATCGATATTGGGGAGAGCGTGGGTGCGCATGGCGGTGGCGACAGCGTGTTGCTGAATGATTTGTTTGGCGAGCCCGTCACCGACGAGTACATGCGCGCCGCGAGCCATGTCGACGGCGCCGCGTCTATCCTGACCGGCATCGCGGCGAACCGGTCCATCGCGACGGGGCAGGTGGTTTTTGTGGATGATATTCTCAAGGTCCCGGAGTAAAGTTGGGGTCAATAGATGGTTGGGTAGACACACAGGTACTTTATGAGCGACGTGATGACACTATTTATGATCACTGACTTGCCGCTCCGTTGTATTGAAGTGGGTCAACCGAGAGTTCACAGAGACTACTAAGCCTGGCAAAAAAGGGCGCATCTCCACCGCATGTGGGGATGCAAAAAGAAGAGTTTTCTGAGAAGAGTGGGATTTGAACCCACGCCTCTTACGAGACCACGGATTTAATCCACTCGGAAGAGTGAAGAATGATCAAGGATATTTCCTTAACGTGGCGCCTTAGACCGCTCGGCCATCTTCCCATTTGTTGATGTGGTTTTGGGTCGGGTCAACGGTCTATCATGGTGGTTTGCCAAACGAAATGTGGATACCGCCCCAATTCAGTTTTCCACCCCCTTCAACCCCTGTGTTGTGCGCAACACCACATTTCAGCACTTGACAGAAAAAGACTCAATTGGTCTTGACCCTCTTCGCCCCATCCGTCCCATGCACCCAATCCATCACCCCAAAAATCCCGTAATTCACCGTAAACCTCTCGTGGTGCGCATCGTGCATGCGCGACCACCCGCCAAAGAAGTCGTACCCGCTGTGCACCGTGCACGTCTCGAAGAGATTCACTGCCAGGAACGCCCAAAGCGTCAGGATGTGCGTGCCCAGGAGCACGGCCGGCACCGCGACGGGCAGCGTGCCGGCCACGAGCGACTCGAGCGGGTGAGCGTACTGCGCCGTCAGCGCGACCGGCGCCGTGAACTCGTGGTGTACCTTGTGCACGCGCCTGTACAGCGCGGGGGTGTGCAGCAGCCGGTGCGCGTAGTAGAAGAGGATCTCGCGGCCAAGGCAGCAGAGCAGGAAGTCGCGCGCGAATATGAAGAGCGGGGGCGGCCTTGCGGTGATGGAGAATGGTGGGGGGGAGGTGGTGAGGATGGAGATGCTGGTGAGGAAGAGGGAGAAGACGATGGATTGGAGCTGGCTCTTCAGGGCGCCGTTGAGGCAGCGCTTGAGCTCGGCTGGCGTTGGTTGCTTGGGCGCCGGCTGGATCTTGTGCCGCGCTGAGAAGGCCGGGGCGATACGGTCGAGGGAGAGGTAGATGAGGGACGGGACCCAGAAGAAGAGGAGTTGCACGAGCAGGGTCCCGAAAAAGTCGATCGTGCGCGGCCTGTAGCTTTGCACGATGTTGGCCCATATTACGGTCGGGCTGACAGTCAGTTGTGCCATTGTTGTTTATGTCCTCTGTTGTCGTGTGTATAACTCGGATGTTTTCAACGTCCTCGGGTAGAGCCTCCTTCGAGTTGTTGCTGAACAGCTGAGATATTGTTAAGGCCCGCGCTGTGACTATCAGTCGCGACCTCTCAAAACACAAAAGAGGGGTACACCGACTGTTTCGAGGACATACCTCGGCCCAGTCTCCTCTGACGATTAGCGTGCTCGTTTGCAGACACCACTAGCAGGGTATAGATAATCGCGCGTTATTCCCGCGCAGGTGAATCAATGCAGGTCGCCGTGGGGTTGCTTCGCTTTCGAGTTAGAGGTAGTCAGGGTTGTACTTACCGGCTGATCATATTAAGAGCACTGAACTTGAAGCTATGGTTGACTATCTATGTTAGCAGCCGTAGCTAGTTATCTAAGCGAGTTGGTTTGATGGCTTTGACAATGGTATTTCGAATTTCGTCGGAGACATTGGAAGACATGGGAGGTCTCTTTGGAGGTGTCGAGTTGCTCAGGGTATGTACCTAATTACATCTCTCCGCCCAGGATTGCTAAGTTTTCTGTTGCACTGGATCAGTTCCAAGCCTCGCCCCGTGAATGGTAGTCAACTACCGCAACCACCCCAGACCACTGGCCTCACTTTGGCACAGACGGATGTTAAATGCAAGTCCAATACCCGGGACGAAGCTCACGACACAGCGCCCTCGACTTCATTCGCGGCCTTTCCGTCAGGTCTCCGTCGTTTCGGCGGGCTGGAAGAGCCCGGACACGTGAGGCAGGCCGTCCAGGCTCTTCCAGGTTGAATTTTCTGTGTTGAGAAAGTTGCTTTCATGATTGTCTGAACTAAAGGCTCAGGCTAGCTACCCTGGTAGTGGGCCATTAGCAACCTGATGCAAGTCATTAGGTATGTTTCGGTTAGTAGAACAAAGCAGCGCGTTGATAGCTGTCGTTGCTGGGGACTCACTTAAGGCAAGGGGAAAAGATTAAATATCTAGGCTCTTCAACGCAGATAGTGATCAAGGATCGTGGCGGCACTGAAATCCGACCATGAAGGGCAGTGACAATGACACAATGAACTACCTGTGCCTGTATACCCAATTAATTACAAACATCCATCTCTGATAATTAAAGACAACTTCAAGACCGGTGCCTGTCCCACGCGGATCAAGGCGCAGAGAACACTTAGACATGCTGTCTTTCTCGTTCCTCAAGCTCGATACGAGCCCGCACCGGTGCTCAGCAAGTTCAAGAAGTCAGGTAAATACCAGGTAGTGCCATTTCCAACATTCTGGATTGATGCCATCTAGCATCCACGCTGATTGCACAATGCGAACTCTAACACCGCGCGCTACCTTGAGGTACATATTTACTGCCCGGGTTACCAGGTAATTATTGACCCCCAGGCACTTGAAAATGTCACACAGAAATGAGATAGAACATAGACCAACATCTTTGCCAGGCGCGGCCAAGTATTCCTGGCATAGTTTGGTATTACTTAACAGACTTCACATCACTCGGCAACTCCTCAAATAAGCTGTGCCACAATTGCCTCGCAGGCACGATCGCATGATGAAGTGGATCCGTATAAATCTTTGGTTCTAACAACAAGGCTAGCGGCGCATACTTTAAACTCTAAACAAAATCCTGCGCCAAGAATGCGAATACAGACATGACATGTGACAATACCTACCCGTTGCAACCTGGAAGTTGGCCAGCAAGAATCCCACGATTGTGCGTTTGGAATATGAAGTCCCAGTGGTGTCGAACGTAACCACAATCGATGCAGTGTATCTGCTGACGTTGGTAGGTTCAAGTTCCATTCAATGTCTTTGGGTGCCTTGGGAGCTCCATAACCCCCACATTCTCATCTCAAGTTGGCTGAAGTAGAGACTTCTTGACTTTTTGTGGTCGGTGTCGCGTCTGGTGTTGAGATTGTGTCCGGCCGCTTGCTTATACTGTCAACTCGCGCACCCCTCACCGTCGACATGGAGGAAGCCTTTGGCGGTCTCCTGGCCTTGGAAACCAAACCACTCGCTTTCTTCTCGTGCGCGCTCGCGGCATTTATCCGCCCTCCCGTCGCCTTAGAGACTGCCGGTGCCACGCTAACTTTCCTCTCTTGCATAATCGCGGCCTCCAGTCGACTGCCTCTCGCTTCGTTTATCCGTCGGCCGCAGGGGCCGCACGCAAGCAGCTTCGCGTGCCGCTCTGTGAGTTTCTTGCCGGGGCAGTCTCTCGGGTCGGTGCCGCCGTATTTGTCGCACTGCGTCGCCAGCGCGTCGTCCCATTCGATCCGGAACACATAGTTCCGCCCGTTTCGAACGTTCGGGCACACGGGGTCGAGCGTTTCCCCTATTGCGCAGTAGTAGAATGTCTTGGAGATCTTGCACATCGTGGTGTGGTTGTTACCCTGTTCAGTGGAAGGGCCCGGGAGATTTTAATGGCGATGGTGTTGCGGATAACATGAATAGAATCAGAGGGGAGTGGGGGAAAGACATGAGAAAAAGCTGGCCTGGTAGACATTTTGAGTTTTTGGCTAGGGGTCGGTTTGCTACCTTTTACAGTTTGACTTCAACACAAGCGTTGATCCGCGGCAATGTATGATTACATTTATTGAGACCCACCGGCGCTGTAGGTAGAAGTCTAAGATCTTAGATAGCAGTGGCTTCCGTCAGTGTCTGTGACAATATTTGCCACATTGCTCCTGTTATGTGAGACGAGTGCCCTTCGTTGTCCGATGTGCTGTTTGACCAGAATTCTTTAGACTAGATGCCAAAAGTGCTCTAAACCTCCAGGGCTCGTTCAATGTTGCTTTCATGGAAATGTAGAGAGTCTCACAAAAGATGAACACCTACAAACACTACATCGATCGTTAGCTTTCCTTTCATGTTCTTTTCTGGCATTGACATGACTAAAAGGTAATTGCCCACTTTGTCTAGTCCCAATGTTTTCATCCGAGTGACCAAGAACACATTAGTGTTTGCGCCCATGGAAGTGAATTATTCATGTTGGTACAGGTTACCTCCGCGTCCAATAATACAGACTGTTTAGTAGAAAGCAGCTTTCAACAGGTCCTAGTAGTCCGTGAGAGGAATAAAGGGGTAGCAGCAGCAATAATGGAATAGGTTTTCCTGTATGCTTCATCATCCGATGGCCTTAAATTGGTCAATACCAGCAATACCACCTAATAATCATTCCGTGGGGTTCCTTCAATCCTCATTTGCGCAGATATCCAATAAATAGGTCGTGGTGCTGTTGTTCTTGGACCATTTGGGAACCCGAGAATCTACCCATAGGTCCGGTCTTTCGGAGTTATCCGCATTATCTTCACGTTTCGATACCCGGCAGTTCCTTGCCACTCCTCATTAGCAACACCAAGTGAGGATAATACCCGATGGGTCAGGTCAAGCATCGCCACATCATTACCCAGGCCTGGTATTAAACAGCTCCATAGTAGTCGGTGACCTGCATAGTCGACGACAAGCACATCGGGCCGGGCACTGAGCAGTCGGAGGTTCAACGGCATGATGCACTCCCACATTGGCAACGGCATGATCAACCCTCAAGCGCTGAGTCCCTGCAGAAACCTTTCAAGAGATTTCAGCACTCTCTCCGCACCACATTCCCCAAATCTCCTGCACAAGCAGAGACGCTGCGACAAGCAAAGTTCATTTAAAGATACCTAATAAAGCTGCATTCCCGTAGTTCTCCAATTCAGCTTACCTCGTTAAGAACAATTACTCGCGGCCAACTGAAGTGCCCAGACAGGATACGAGTCTGACAGCGTTTCAGGTTATGCTAAGCCCCCTCACCTCATGCTGGTTTCCAGGTTGGCACCTGGTAGTTGCATGGACGCCATCCCGTATGATTCCTCGTATTCCGCCTGCGGTATTCAAGCCAACAACACACAACGCACTGGCATGCCAAGACGCCGTTGCATTGTGATATTGGCATCAGGAGTTACCGCTTCTCGTTAGCGCCTACGGTGGATTGGGATCCCAGGGAATAACAGGGGCAGGTTCGCATACGTGTAGGAATTGGTCAGATAGATACACTCCACAGTATAATGTCGCTGTCTGCAAGTACCAGGTTGGTAATG